AAATCTAAGGCTGAAGCCAGTGAAGGATCCAGGGTTATGCCTTCATACATTGTGAGTGAATTATAGCATTTCCATTTCATTCGCTATAAATTAATATTTTCGAAATTGAAAATGTCATCGCACTTTTAGAGTGTATGTCGACCTTTAGCGATATCTATTTTCTGAATTCTTCAAGAAAATTAGAGATACGCGTCAAAATACTGGAATTCTTTTTGGATACTTTCAGGTTCAGTACAGATCTTACAACTGGCTACTTTTATTTACCAAACTAGTCGAACACTTCTTGATTAAGCTAAAACTCTCGTATGTTGGGAAGGGAGCGATACATGAGATTCTTTTAAACATTTAACAACTTTTTATTTTGCAGAAAACCCCAAAAGGATGCCCATCAGTTTGTAAGGATGGATGTTGCGCGTTTTCCTCCTGTCTCAATGGAGGAACCTGTGTGGAGTCCTGTTCTAATATTAAACAACGGTTCTACTGCCTCTGCCCAAAAGGTTTTGGCGGGAAGTTGTGCGATAAGCCAATGACCTGTGCCGCCCACGGGAAACAACCTTCTTCTGGGAATTACCCGATTGTTACCTATAATGGACAGGAAATCAATGTATACTGTGATTTTACTTCCACTCCTGGTGTCGTATGGACCCTTTTAGAGTCATTCTCGTTTGCCAACTATTTGACATTTCAATCTCTGTCCTTTACTGCGACGTACCCTGTAAATGAAGCACTGATGAACTGGCAGTATTATCGTCAGTCGTATTACGTAATGCAAGAAATCCGGTACAACGCGACTCTCTGGAGATCCACCTGCAACTACCATGAAGGAGGATATAACAGCAAAGATTCAGTCAGAGGATCGCTGTCATACTTAGATATCCTAGCTCACACAGCTGGGTATCTGTGTGTGGCTGTCGACTTCATTGATGTGCGCGGGATAACTTGCAGTTCATGCACTGTCGCCATGTATCAAGATGCTAATGTTCACCTCAACGTCGAGAGCAATTCGGCTAATCAAGGATGTCAATGGAACGGGCTTCCAGGCGCAAACTCAAAGAAAATAAAAGGAAAGTGGTATTACGATAACTACTTTGGGAACTATTACGTGTACAACACTGCCTTTCAGTGTTCTTCCTCGTCTTCCTCTACAACACAGTGGTGGCTAGGAACTCCGGTTTAACTAGAGATTTCACACGTACATGCCGAATTTTTTAATGAAGGAAGAAAACAAACCTCAAGACTTATTTTCACACTAGTTCATCTAGGCGTCCTTTTCCTTCTTTTTCACGTTCAGTTTACGAACTACTGTAAGGCCCTGGCTAAACGAGGAAACATGTTTTCTTAAATGTTTCCAAAGGTGGCAAAACTGTCAGGGAACATCGGGAAACATGTTTACTCAATATCGGTTAGCGGTATCGTGTCTTTCGAATACTAACCGTTACGTGACCATTTCACGTTGTTTTCTCTCGCGTCTCGATGTTTTCCACGGCGAATACGATGGATCTTTGCCATTGCACTCTCTGTCTCTTACAATAGCAATAGTTAGATATTTTCTGTCAAGAGACTTAGTTAACTAACAGTTTTATTGAGCACGAACGTCGTAGGGAAATGGCAGTTTCAATAACATTTGATTTACTATTGAACACGTTTGGTTTTTTCATTGACAATTACTGAGGAATTGAAACTCTCAAGTTATCAAGTTCAGTCTACATGACTACAAACTGTAGCAAAGAATATGCCTGCCTTGGTTGCCAGGCTTGAAGAAATATTAGGCTGCGTTCATAATGTATGGCGGGGGGG